GGTAGAGTAGCCCCAAAGCGTATTTTAAAAATCAGCTGTGCTGATTTACTTAGCATATCTCATTTTTCCACAGGCCTGACTCACGGGGCTATTGTGCCAGTGGGGCAGCTGGAACAGTAATCCCTATAACTAACCCTCTTCAGACTGTGGTGCCTCAAATGACATCATTCTGCATTATCCAAGGGTTAAAATTATTTTTCTAAGCTAATGTTTTGATAATTTTTTAATTGTCTTATTGTAGTTTTTTTTTAAAAGTATTGTTATATTTCTTGAAGAAAAAAAGTAACCATTACATGAGAAGTCACAAATGAACAAAATACAGAAAAGTCCAGTGCTTTTGTGTTTATACTTAATGTATGTTAACTCACCCAGCCTGAAGCACTTGTGGCAGGTGATTGCTTAAATATAAAACCAGTGTGAAAATTGCTCTGCCATGCTCTGTGGACAGGCTGGTGGAGAAGATAGAAGTGGAGGAGACTACATCGTCTTTGGAATGGTCCTCTTTCTGTGGGAGCACGTACCAGCATGGTCAGTGGTACTGTTTTTCCGGGCACAGAGATTAAACCAGAATCTGGTAAGATTTCATAATATCCCCCAGTGCTTAATCTCATTTTTTTTCTAAAGCATAGAACATTTAGCCTGAGTTTCTGTTTTGAGTAAGGCTGAGGCTCAAACTCACAGACCCTAGTCTCCGGCCTTCACCCGGTCTCTGACATTGCATCCACAGGCACCTGCTGGCATGGGAAGCAGCCACAGCTACAGCTCCAGAGCTTTCTTTTTCGACAATCCAAGACGGTATGACAGTGACGATGACCTGCCAAGACTGGGGAGCTCTCGAGAAGGAAGGTAGATGTAGTCACTTGGCTGAATTAGTGTTGAAATAAAAAAAAAAAAAAAAAGAACTCTGAGCTTTAACCCACCCACCAAACAGGTGATTTGGCACATGATCATGAACTACTGTGCCTTAACCCACTAGATCGTTAACCAGGTGATACAACATGCTCTATAAACAACTGTCAGCTGACCTGAAGCCAGTCTATCGCCCTGTCTTTAAAAAATGTTGGAGTAAAGTGGGGCCAGACCATCTCCCTTCTTGGTTCAGAGTGAGAGCGTGCACAGTGTCGGGCCCCGAAGGGTCGCCATACACTGTGTGTTTGCTTCCTTGTCCTAGTGTGATTCCAGGTCAAAAAAGAACAGTCTGCCCACACCCTCGTGTTCCAAAACCATCAGAGAGCCTTGTCATACACCGACAGCCATCTTCCCGCTTGCTTCCTTTTCAGTACCTCTAACTTCACCTGGACACGTCATTTAAGCTGGTCCTCCTCCGTGAAGTAGGGATGGCAGCAAAGCCTGTCTCACAGGTTGTGATGAGGACCAGAGGAGCCACATGTACATGCAGATGTGTCGGAGCAAAGCATAGCACACAGATTATTACAGCCAGACACACTCTGCCACTTCTCAGAGTCATAGCCTTCTTGGGAGGTGTGTCACAAGTCAGAAATATCAGGTAGAAGCCATCAAACTGTGGAGAAAGTCGGTGTTAGTTTGCACATTTACTGTACTATATTTCTGTGTTGTGAAATTCTCTGGAAATGTTAAAAATGCCAGTGTGACTCCTAATCACAGCCCTCTGACTTCTTTGCCTTCTATTTTTGCTGTTGCAGTTTATCGAACTCACAGAGTTTGGGCTGGTACGGCACCATGGCGGGGTGTGGCGGCAGCACCTTCCCGGTCACCCCCCCACTGAATGGACCTGTAACGGACACTGCTCCTTTGCTCTTCACCTGCAGTCATTTAGATGTGAGGAATCACCAGAGCTTGTATGTAACTCCTCAAAACTGAGGGCTTCCCCACAGCAGGAGTCTTGAACTGTTTTCCATGAATGTGTATGTGTATTCAACATCTTTAAAAGCATCTACATCAACATTGCATCATCTATTGCAACTAGCAAAATCTGGAAATACAGCTGTGTTTCGTGGAGAACCTCAAAACACAGCTGTTTGTTTTGACCTCTGCATAGTGAAATTCAAAGTTTGGAGGAGAAAGAGATTAGATGCTAAGGTACTCGATGACCTCAGAACCTCCTAACTTTGAATGTCCAATGCACATTTGCATATTTGCACTTTTATCTATGTTCAGAAAGAATACTCTGCAGTCCCCAAAGCCACACTTGAGTATTCACGCCAGAATATTATTGTATACCAGATCGGAAGGCAGTTTTTCCACAAGAATCAAAACCTAGAAATTCAAAGGTGTACTCTACATGGAACCCTTACCCAATTACAGGTTTAAAGTATGATCGGTGCACAGAGTTAAGGCTTAAAAGTGTATCATTCTTTTTAAAAATACACAATATTGAAGACAGTTTTTTAAAGCATGCTTTGAAAAAAATGTCAATTGAAATTACTCCATTCTTTTAAACAAGTGATAGTGGAAACCCTTCATGGTGCTGCTGGCTGGCAGTGTTCTTTGGAAAGCCAGAGGAGTCTCTTCAAGAGGAACAGTAATCCAGTGGAGACTGTGTGGCTTTGAGTAGGACTGGTCACGTGGCTATTTTGTATGGCTAAGGTGAGTAGCAGTTGAAGCATGATTCTTCCAGAAGCAATAGTGACTTTTGCATAGGGAGTTGCAGTAGAACTTCTTGGGACTAACTAAACAAGTTTACAGATGCACTGAGGGATTGTTCATTGAAGAAGTGCTAGGTTAAAAACGGTATGCTTTCAAACGGTATTCAGTTTATCTGAAAGAGATGGAGCACATCCCACCTACTGAGTCAAGATTGTCCTCAGGTAAATTAAATCATGAGACATTTTGCAGTGAGCTAAAGTGCAATACTTTATAAAATGTATAATTCCGCCTTTATTTTTCACATTTTATACCTTGTATATGGGCTAAGCCAGATTAAATGAATTCCAATCAATTCCAGCACTGGATGAGCAAACGAGAAAAGTGTAAGAGGTTAACAACATTGGGACAGTGTAGGATGTCATTAAAACTGTCTTAAACATGCTGTAAGCAGTGTGCTTGTGCACGCATGTGTATTCAAGCACACATGCACACAACAGTAGGCCAAGATAACACAATTTAAAAATGCACTTTCTACCTGTGTCTATATGGAAAGCAGATGCTGAATACCTCAGATTCCGAGGGGACAGGCAGCTTAGGTGTCACACAGGTGAAGACCCCACACAGGATCTGCCAGCTGCTTTGGAACTGGGACGAACACAGCTGCCCTCTTCTGTCTACTGTGACTAGAAACTGTCTTATTTGTACTCATACCTAAAATCTATCAGCTTTTTAACAACTAATGCAGCAACTTCACAAAAGTATAATATGTGAATCTTTAGAAACATATTGTTAATCCTTTCTATCTTTTGAGAGGATGGTACAAAGCCAAATACTTTTCTTCTTTTTATGAACAACCAATTTTAAATTCAATCAGAAGCATACTTATAAATGCACAGCATCTGTTTATAAGTTCTTACTGTAACAAATGAATCTTTTATAGTACAGAAGTTAGCCTTGGTACTATGATAACAACCTAACAATAGTCTACAACTGTGGATTTCTTTTCAGTTTTTCGGTTTCTCAGAATGCCAGGTGTTTATTTCGATTATGTTAATTAAGTATCTAACTATTGTCTTTGATATTTTTTTCTAGTTAAGCCTCTCTACACAAACATCCTGGTTGACAAAGTAAACAAAGATTACTTAACTCTTTCAGATAAAGTATCTTAGTTCTTTTCGCTGCACTGGTTGACTACACTGAATTTGATATTTATTAGTTTATTATATTTATCAGTGACTCAAGTACCTAAATTCTCCTTTTGCTTTGTTTTGAAACGGAGTCTCTCTGTGTAGTCCTGGCTGTCCTGGAACTCACTGTGTAGACCAGGCTGGCCTTGAACTCAGAGATTCTCCTGCCTCTACCTTCTAAGTGCTGGGATTAAAGGTTTCCGCCACCACACCTGGCCTATAAAGTTACCTAAATTCTTAACATTCGTCTCCTTATACACACTTCACAGTACATCACCAAAGAAGACATCTGCCCCAGTGTTTGCTTAAAACTTCAAACGCACTAGCAGCACTTTAAGTTCGGTCTCGGAGGGAGCTGTTCATAAGGTCAAAGGGCTCCAGTTCCCCGTCCACCTGCACTGAAGCACATGACAGCTCCAGCCCTTGCTCACAATCATTAATTAGAAAATCCAAGTTCATTGCTTAAGTGTGTAATTCTACAGTGATTAGCAATATTTGTTCTTATCGTTCATTTCACTTGGGTTGCTATTAATTTTGAAACTCTTAACCACCTACTGTAGCTGATTGTAGTTTTACAGACAATGTAATTTATAGCTAAAGTGGCTTTTTATGCATTATTGCCTTTTTATTGTTTAACAGTGTTTCTCAGCTATACAATCAGTTTCAAGCTGGTTGTAAAAGTATAGCTGTGGCCAATGAATGTATTTATTTGTTGTTTCACTAAATTATAATAAAACACTACGGTTAATGAGTGTGTTTTTATTTGGAGGTGTGTTTCCTTAGTACCATTAATGGAATCCATTCAGTCCCTTTCAGAAACCTCATTACAAATGGAATTGGCCTTTTTAGTGAATAATGAATTACATCTGGATGACAACACATATTTCAGCCTGTTTGAAATAAAGTACCATGTTTTTCAATGGTAGTGTCATTAGGTAGACATTTATTCAAACGTTAAGCTAAGAAAAATCCTCACGTAACAGTTAATAACATCTCCCTCCTCCTGAGAATCTTGTAGTTCGTCTAGTCTACAATCCCAGCCATTCTTTCATCAAGAAGCTCCTGTGACATTGCCTCCTCCCTTAAACTTGTTTCCGAAGTAGATGACACTCAAGACTGACCAAGACCACACCAGAGTTCAAATTATTTTCATCTTTATTGCCCACCCCAAAGTCTACTGACCCTTGCCGTAAGCAAAGGCAGTGAGGGTACTTGCAATGAGGCTCAGCTGTCACTGTGAAGCAATTAATTCAACAAACATTTATTAAATGCTCATATGCCAAACATTATGCTACAGAGATGCCAAAATTAATAGTCTCTTTTCCTGCCCCTGGGGAGCTCACATTCTAGGAAAGGACACTTTAAAAAAGTAAAACATACAGTACAGTAAGTGATTCAGTAGAGGTAGGTTGCAGTTACAGTGGTGCCCATGGGAAGGGGACAGGTGTGATTTCAAAACTGCACTGAACTTCCCAGGTGGGAAAGAAGCCTGGGTTTCTCAATGCAAATACGGTGTCTACCATGGTTTGGAGGGAGATCCAGCTCTGGACTTTTTTAACCTGCTTATCAGAACAGAGTGGCAAAGACAAGAAAAGGATCTTGGACACCAAGTAAAAGCTCTCACCAGAAAGCTCGTAAAATTGTCAGTGGGTGTTAGGTTGAATGCTTCTAGAAAGCCCAATCTGGTGATGTGGGCCACAGAGATGAAGAAATAGACATGGGCAGTCCTTTGGGTAACAGTAACAAAAATGAGAGAGAATGATAGAGAGATGGGAGTAAAGTCAACAGAACTCAGACCCCAACAGTTAGGAGGAAGAGGAATGAACTATAAAATCTTGTACAGAACAATGGCTCTGAAATTAACCAGGTAAGGAGCAGACACAGGAGTGGGTGTGTGGAGACTTGAGTGAGTCCAGCAGGAAAACGCACTAAGTCTGAGCTAAAGTCTGTTGGGCCTCGCTGGATGGAAATGACCCAGAGTGAAGCACAGTGACTGGGAACAAGAAGTCTGAGGATGATATTCAGGGTACATGAGGAGACCAGAGGAGAGACATCCAGGAGCAAACCAGACACAAGCACACAATGGAGCAGGGACTTGGAGGAAGAGATTGTCAAGATGTCAATGCAGGAAAGTTCAAATCAAGAAACAGCTTGCTGTGTGTTAACTGTAGACTTAGAGCTAAGCTGTCCGACCACATCTGGAAGGACAGAGGACACAGGGCCAAGCAAGTGGAGGCAGCAAGTGAAAGCAGTGAGGTTTTCAAGAACTCGGGCTGCCGAAACACCTTGTATATGGTAATCGCTTAGTACTATGAGTCCCCAAGAAAACAGATTTAATTAGTGGGTTGACATCTTTCATTTGTTACCTTATTCAAATGAAGGGGGAAAATGAGAAAGGAAAAGAGGACACACTGTTAAACATAGTTCTATGATCATTCACATAAAGTATACTAAATACATACTTACACATTCAATCAACAAATACTAGACACCAACTATATGCTTGGCACTGGACCAGATCTTAGGGACAGAGAACATACACAGCAGTGTAAAGTGACATTTCTGTCCATTACATACAGAAATTCTGCTTTTCTTATGTGACATCCCAACCTGCCTTAACTGCTCAGACTTTATATATGATAAAAAGGGGCATAATTTTGAGGTCTACAGCATTTATAATTGCCATGTGATATAAATTCTTAAACCACTTCAAATATTGTTCTCAGTAAAAAGCTTCCACTAGTGAAAACCTATCCAGGTTACAGTTCCATTTTATGGAAGCAAAAGAAATCAGGTTCATGTATAAAAAACATGAATTGTATAACCTATGATTACACAGGTCAAAAAAAGCAACCAAAAAAAGTGACTAGGACATGAGATATTTCCTTATTCTAAGGCTTATAGTAGTTTAGCTCAGATTAGTAAGGTTTGGTTTCTCCCTTTGAAAGAAAAACAAAAAAGTCACTTTTAGGAGACTGCTGAGCATTACACTGGAGTGTTTTGCGTTAACACATGAAGCCCATGACTAGTTTCCAAACAATAAATTAGAACAGGGTATCTATGTCTACACAGAAAATAAAGCAAGGCCTGAGGACACAGCTCCGGGGTGGAGGCTAGCCCAGCATGCCTGAGGTGCTGGGCTCAATCCCCAGCGTGGGATAGCATGAGAGGTAAAACACATGTGAACAATCCATGAATTTGAGTAAAACAGATTTTTTTGCACTGTTTTTGAAACTTTTCTGTAAATCTGAAATTATATAAAAATAAAATTTTCCCCAAAATTCTACTATTAGGGGAAGTATTATGAGAATAAATATATCTCTTCATCTTTCTACAATGTTTAGAAATCTCCTGTGCCTTATAGTTGGTCTACTTCCCTACATACCAAAACAGCACAATCAAAATAGCCATATAACTCTAAAAGGAATGTTTCATACCAGTGTATTTTAAGGTTGCCAGAAAAACACAGGCCTCCCAGTTAAACCTGAACTTAAAACAAATGAATTACTTTTAGTATAAATAAGGCCCTAATACTGCATACAACACTTTTACACTTAAGAAAACTAGCTGCTTATCTAAAACTCAAATCTAACTGGGAATTCTGTAGTTTCTTTGTGGATGAGGCAAACGAAAATGCATTGGTGTTTTTAGGCTGTTGACCACGGGTTATTGGTGAGCCTCTCAGAATGTTACTACCCAACACTTGTCACAGTTATCTTAGCTTTATTTTATTTTATTTATTTATTTATTTATTTATTTTGATTTTTCGAGACAGGGTTTCTCTGTGTAGCTTTGCGCCTTTCCTGGAACTCACTTGGTAGCCCAGGCTGGCCTCGAACTCACAGCGATCCGCCTGGCTCTGCCTCCCGAGTGCTGGGACTAAAGGCGTGCGCCACCACCGCCCGGCCTTAACTTTATTTTTATCACATCTTTGTAAATACAAATCTAGTTTGAGAGGCTAAAGACATCATTCACCTAGTTTTACCATATGGATTTTGATGATCTTACCTTTGTCTAGTATTAAAATTTGTACATTATCAAAATACTACTTTTATTCACAATAATATTAAACATGAACACAATTTTCAAAAATGTCATTTACTTAAAACAATGTATTTCTCCTTTTACAAAAGCAGCTTTATAGAAATGTTTGCCTTAAGACGGCCATTGCAGTCACGCTGCTCGGAGACATTCAGCTCTCTGGCCTCCCCTGTCCAGAAACAGGCACCTTTCAAGCTCTCCTCCTCAGTGAACATTCTGTAACAAGTGCCTGAAGTTCTCTAATTCTCTTACACTTGTCGAAATCCTGTAACCAAGAAACACTTCACTTAAAAACACTTTCATAAATTTTCTGTTTATCATTTTTCAATTTTAGAGTATATAAAAATTTCAAAGTAGTTTATTTCAATAAATTGAAAGGTACACAAATCTACTTATATCCTTTAGTTTTTAATCTGGCAAGGCAAATCTACAAACACAAACTAACTTTTAATACTTCAGTATTAAAATATATACATATAAAATTATATAAATTTAAATATCCAGAGCTATATTAAAGTATTTAAAGCACATCAATATTTAATATACAATACATAAGTGTTTAAGTATAAAATACTTAGATATTTTAGGTATTCATAAATGTTAATTATATTACATAATATGAATACAGAAATGTAGACATTAAAATAAGCATTTAAATATCCAGAAGTATAATAAGTAATATACCTTTACTTAGTACTAAATTTACGAAGATCAAAGCTATTGATTTTTTTTTAAAGATTTATTTATTTATTATGTATACAGTGTTCTGCCTACATGTGTCCTTGCAGGCCAGAAGAGCAGAATATGGCACCAGGTTTCATTATGGGTGGTTGTGAGCCACCATCTGGTTGCTGGGAATTGAACTCAGGACCTCTGGAAGAGCAGTCAGTGCTCTTAACCATTGAGCCATCTCTCCAGCCCTGATCTTTAAAGAGTAAGAAAAGCCTGTTCTGAACCAACTCTTTTCACCAATCTTTATATATAGTAAAATCTGTTCTGTATGACATTTTTTGTTTGTTTTTTGGTTTTTTTTTTTTTTGTTTTTTGTTTTTGGAGACAGGGTTTCTCTGTGTAGCTTTGTGCCTTTCCTGGATCTCACTCTGTAGACCAGGCTGGCCTCGAACTCACAAAGATCCGCCTGGCTCTGCCTCCCGAGTGCTGGGATTAAAGGCGTGTGCCACCACCGCCCGGCCTGTATGACATTTTTGCATGCTCCCTTCTACATGCACTTTAGCTCTGCTCTCCAGTAGGATAAAAGCAGAGCACACAATTAAAGGTAACTGTCAAGTTCCTCGATGCCAGAGAAAATTTTTAAGGCCAATTATTTCAATCCTAAAATGTTTGATATTATTTTTAGGTAAAAAATGTAGCCCTTAAATACTGAGAGGATGGGAGAATGCTGTCTCTCCTGCTAGGGTTCACTCCCCAGCACTGAAGAAAGAAAATGTCAATCTCAGAATCAACATGAGCCAGCAGGAAAAGCCATCTACACTGAAAACTGTTGGTGTATCTTCCTTATCCCATGCTTTTCCTCAAATTATTTTGACAGAAAATAACAATTTCTAAAGAATTTCTAATCTTTTGTATACTGCTGAGTTCACTGAAATATTTGTGACTTTCCATAGCCTTCAAAAATAACACCAATAAAATGCTTTTAAATAATTACAATAAGCTAGCCCTGATGGCACCTGCCTTTAATCCCAGGAGGAAGGTAGAGACTGGCAGATCTCTGTGTTCAAGACCAGCCTGGTCTACATAGTAAGTTCCAGTAACCTGCCAGGGCTACATGGTAAGATCGCATCTCAAAACAGAACAAAGCAAAATGCCATGTATCTTTGTGTGAATGTACAAAATAATTACAATAAAATGTACAAATTTAACGGTACTCAAATCTGTCAGTAAATTAAATATGAATATAAAAATCAATAGATGGAAATAATCTAGTATGTGTGTATATTCTAAAGGCATTTTATCAGATCATATAATTTTTTTAATATTTTATTTAATGTGCATTGGTATTTTGTTCACATTCATGTCTTTGTGAGGGTGTTGGATCCCCTGGAAGTGAGTTACAGACAGCTGTGAGCTGCCATGGGGGTGCTGGGAATTGAACCCAGGTCCTCTGGAAGAGCAGCCAGTGCTCTTAACCACTGAGCCTTCTCTCCAGCCCCAGATCATAAAATTCTATAACAAGTTAATTTTACTAAAAAGGACACTCCTGGTTTTATCTGAAAACATACCTATTAATATCAGACTCAGGTGGCTAGCAGAAACAATTTCAGAACATTAAAACTAACCTTCCAAATGCATTAAACAAGGATACTATCTCCTGTCGGGTTAGCTGGAATTCATAACTTGGTCCACTCTCTGGCATATTTGCTATCAGTTTCTCGGAAAACAGGATCTTCAGAGCAGTGCCCAAACCCTGAGTCTAAAACAGAAAGAAGAAAAAAGGACAAATAAGGAACCCCTCAACACACAGGAAAGACGAAGACTGAGCCAGACTTACCTGGAGCTTTCCCCACAGTCGGCACTTAAAACAACCAACACAATCCATGATTCTCGAAATATTTCTAAAATGTAGTCGGAAGTCCTCCTAAAAACAATGTAACATAATTTTATATAAGTTGTGTACTTGTGTAATCAACTAAGAATTGTTTTCTGCATGCTCTCCATGTGTTCAGCCCTGGACACTGCGCTAAAGGGTATCAAACAAAGGCCCACGCACACAGAGCGTCTACCACATCCCAGAACCTCTCCTTACCATTCAATCTTCCCCACAAATCTAAAGCTACGCATGCTCTACCCTCGTGGATTTCTTTAAAAGACTCAGAAATGTTACACAGCAGGTCTAAGCTCACACCCGAGTGACCAGCCCTGTCTCCCTCCAAATCCACGCTACCAAAAAAGAAATACGTCATCAATATTGGGAGTTGTGGGATTAAATGGTATCTAACAAGGTAAAGGAAGGATTTTCTTTACTACTGATATATAAAATATAATTAATAGCCATGTATACACCACGAAATTCTAAAAAGAAATCATTACTAATATAACTGAAACTCCCTACATATCATCCCACATTTCTGTACCTATCCTCTACTACTCTGATGGATTTGGGTTGTTGTTCCATTTGTTTTTATACATTCGTATACATAATATATGTGCCTGTTAACACCAGATTGTTACGTTGATTGTAATAAAGCTGCTAGAATCCAATCATCTAAATGCAGTATATGTCCTTAAGGGATGAAGAAAAGGGAGCCAAGGGCATCTTCTTTTATTTGAGTCAAAATTAATAACGGATCCTCCAAGTGACTCTGTCCTGGTCTTAAGAGTAGAATCTCAAGCTACCAGTAGCTTTTTGTTTTTTTGTTTTTCAAAAACTAGATTTTATTCACCCCCTCTACCCACTGTGTGTGCATGTTCACGTGTGTGTGCACATGTGTGTTTATGTATACTCGTGTAAAATCAGACAACAACTTGCAAGGAGTTGGTGATGTAGGTCCTGGGGATCGAACTCAGGTCGTCAGGCTTGGCTATAACCGCCTTTACCCACTGAGCCATCTCACCAGCCCTAACTACCAGGATTCAGAAGAAACTTCTATTATTTCAGTAGTCTAACCTTTTTTGTTGTTGTTGTTGTTGTTGTTGCTGTTCTGTTTTTTTGTTTTGTTTTGTTTTTGTTTTTCAAGGTAAGGTTTGTCTGTGTAACAGCCCTGGCTGCTCTAGAACTCACTCTGTAGACCAGGCTGGCCTCAAACTCACAGAGATCTGCCTGCCTCTGTCTCCCCAGTGCTGAGATTAAAGGAGTGCATCACCACTGCCTGGTGTCTATAATTTTTTTACTATGAGATAAATCATATAATGGACTCTGGACTCGACCAGATGAGCACCCCAGGTCTAAAACTAGGTGTGAGCAGAGATGGCTATCTAGTACATTCAAAGGACATTTAAATTTGCTTCAGAGGGGGATTTCCCAGAAGCTTGATTCAGCATGAGATTGCAACAGCTGTAACATGCAAAATATTTTAGTAAGACTCAAGATCTCATGCCTTTACTAGTTTTATGCAAAGGCCAAATAAATATGAATTATTCACTTTAACAGTTTTCTCCATTTGGTACTTCTGGACCAGTTCGGTAAGAGAACATCCTAATTTTAAACTTTTAAATAAAACTGCCCATGGAATAGTAATGTAGCTCCATTGACTGGTAGAGTGCTTGCCTAACATACCTAAAGCCCTGGGCTCTACCCCCATCACTACATAAACCAGGTGGTGAAGATCTATCATCTCAAAGTTGTTCTCAGCTACACAGCAAGCTTGGGACTAACCTACACTACACATGAGACCACCTCAAAAAATAACTTTTTTTAAACTACTCAATTTTGCTATAGACAGTTTTCATGATGATAGTAAGTTTCCTTTAGTGTTTTGAGTTTGACTTTAAAAAATAAAAAACTGGGCAGAAATAATCTCCCCAGGGATGAGTCTCTAGTTGCTTATCCAATACCAATAGGTCAGCCCTGAACGTGTACACATACAAGTAACACTATGCAGACTGAACAGTGTGCCACGTGTGGTGTGGGAGTGACAGTAACAGAGAAGGAGACCGTGAATGGGAGAAGGAACAAAGGGTGAGGGCATGGAAGGGCTTAAAAGGAAAGGAGAAAATGATGGAACTGTATTTTAATTTCAAAAAAAATTTTTAATTGAAAAAATATCACACTTTTTCCTACTACAGGGGAAGGGGCTCCTGAGGACCAACTCCCCCCTGAGGGACCACTGACAATTAGTAGCTGTTCTAGAGGTCTCCAGAATCCAACTGCAGACAAGTTATCTAGAGAGAGAATAAGTGGTTCATGCATATGCTCCATAACATCCAAATGTATGTAAGCAGGAAGGGCCAGTATCCATCACACGTTTTCCTTACAGAATGGTACTGAATGCAAAGTGGGTGACAATTACATCTTCACAATCAAAAGATACAAAAAACAGACTCCTGTAGAAAGAGCTTGAAAGTATTTTACTTTTAAGAGGCCATCATACTTGCAAAGCTATAAGCCTCTATTGTAAAAGATTATGCCTGCTTTTTCTAAGTTCATTGTTGGAATCGATGTAATTCAAATATCTGAACACAGCGTTTCTTGAGTAAATCTTTGCATGATATGTACAGAGAGTGTGTGTGGTTGCTTAAAATAGAGAAGTTAACATAATTAACATAAAATTAAAGCCAACCACATAAAATAGTGTGAGTATCTCCTACCTACGTAAACTTAGGATGCTAGAAATTTACTAGATTAGGAGAAAATCCTTATAGTTTCCAAAAACAAAAACATGTCTAATAATCTGGATGTATACCAAAATTATCTCAGATCAGAGAAATATGCAACCCTTAAAATAATCAGAAATTAAATTATTAAGACAGATTCTCTTGTCCTGTTGCTCAGGCAGGCATTGGACTCCTGGACTCCAACTGTCCCCCTGCCTCACCTCTCAGCTAGTCAGGAACTACAGGAACACGCTGACACACCCAATTTCTCATCATGTATTATGGTCTTTTGGCAGAATGATTAAAATTAACTCACTGGTTCTTGCCAAAATTCTCAAATGCTTCATAAACCTTCAGACCCTATTTTGTTCCAAACACTAGTAATTATTTCTACCCATACACAGAGACTGTAAGGGGGTCATAAGAAAAACTTTTAATTTGGTTTTTCAAGACAGGGTTTCTCTGTGTAGCCCTGGATGTCCTAGAACTCACTCTGTACACCAGGCTGGCCTCGAACTCACAAAGATCCTCCTGCCTCTGCCTCCAAAGTGCTAGGATTAATGGCGTACACCACCACCACCCAGCAAAATGTTTTTATAAATAATGTTCAAATCTATGTTTAGCAGGAAGCTTTTTAAAGTAAATCTGCTATGAAAGTTTTTTTTAATTTTCCTATGAGTTTTTTTTTTTTCTATAAGAACTATACATAAACTTCAAAGCACATAAAGGCCGAGTGTTCTGGAATTTGGATCAAATTAAAACACTGTGAGAAATATTTCTAATTTGTACAGTCGAAAAAGAGCTGAAGCCAAAACACCCTCCAACAAAACAAACCAGCAAGTGAACTAAAAATATGGAGTATACTGAATACAGTACAGAAAAGAAGTCTTTTGGTTTGGTTTGGTTTGGTTTGTTTGGTTTTTCGAGACAGGGCTTCTCTGTGTAACAGTCCTGGCTGTTCACTTTGTAGACCAGGCCAGAAAAGTCTTACTGTAGCATCTCCCATCACTCTCCAGTTCCTGGAAGCTGTGGGGTTACATAACCACTAAGTCCGTTTCTGTGGCTAGACCAAGCTGAGGAAGACAGAGGCGGCAATCCAGAACAGCTGATCTGAACGCACACACAAGAAAGAACTTCCTTTGCAAGTTGATTGCATTGGCTTCTTCCATCGTGATGACAGACAGAGAGTGTTACATAGATATCAACCCACTGAGCTCTAAGTCAAGATGCAGTATGAAGTAGAAATTTTAAATTCATTTTTAACTGACATCCAAACTGTTTATGGGGTGCTATGATACCTAGACATTTATTTTTTCTATTTTTCTTTTTCTTTTTCTTTTTGGTTTTTTTGAGACAGGGTTTCTCTGTGTAGCTTTGCGCCTTTCCTGGAACTCACTCTGTAGACCAGGCTGGCCTCGAACTCACAGAGATCTGCCTGGCTCTGCCTCTTGAGTACTGGGATTAAAGGCTTGTGCCACCACCACCCGGCTTATTTCTTGATATTTATATGGAACAATAAAACCAAGGTGACAAGTTCATAACCTGACATACCCTTTTGTAGTAAAACTTTAACTCTTCTCTTAACAGTTCTGAAATATGTAATACATGCCTATTTATTAGTCATCCTTCTGAGCCACAAAAGCTTCCCCCAAACGGAAACTGACCATGCGCTCCCGTCCTAAGCAATCCCTCTCCACAACCTCTTACAGGCGTCATTCTACTTGACCTCCAGTAAATGGGACTTTACACCACACCTGCAGACTCACCAGGCTGCACCTAACCATTAAGGTGAAGTATAATTACCTTTAGTTTATGTGCTTCATTTTTATCCCCAGCAAAAAAGGAATTCTCATCAAAATGCAAAGGAAATGACCTGTGTTTTAAACAGAGAAGGGTCATGTTCATGTATGTAAGTCTTGCTAATATATTTTACTGGTCAGTGATAAATAATTAAAATAGAATAAAAATCAGTAACAGCAACAATGCAAACAAATACTTGTCCTCAAATCTAAATGCTAAGTTTATTAGAAGTCTGACCCCAAACTTAAGACTATGCAAACAAATATAATGCTGGTATTATTTTAAAAAAAAGAAGAAGAAGAAGAAGAAGAAGAAGAAGAAGAAGAAGAAGAAGAAGAAGAAGAAGAAGAAGAAGAAGAAGAAGAAGAAGAAGAA